TGGTATTGTCACTTCATCGTTTGTGGGGACCAGTGATCAGGTTGCAGATGTTTTTACCAAACCTGTCACTCTGTCTATTTTTCGGGACTCTGTTGTCAAGCTTGACTTAGTTGATATTTTTGCGCCTAACTTAAGGAGGAGTGTTAGAAATATAGCAGCAGCCTAGTTTATTAGGGTTTTATTAAGTTTTCCTTTTTTACCTTTTTGTCCTTATGGTAACTCTCATTGACTATATATACGGGGGCTCTACACTTAGTTTGTATCCCTTTTTCATTCACGTTGTATTTCAAGTGTATTTTATATTCAAGATTCTATGTAATTCTAAAACTGAAAATGGGTCATCCTTCTAGAGTCCTTAATTTTTACTTAGCATTTAATTTCAATAGACTTCATAAGCTATAAAAACTCATTACCCAAGCCAACCAAATGAATATCTTGTCAATGAGGAATTTTCATTTCTATGATTCACGGTCTCTCAACAACCCACCTTACTAAGTATAAGGTGAATGTATTCATCGTGGAGATATGCGTATCCAATGATACGTGTGGAAAGTATTTGATATGTATTCGTAAGTATCTGAAAAGTATCGATATCCAATACGTGTCGGATATGGATACGCCACCCCAATCGAAGAATACGTACTTCATAGGCCAGCAGTCCTTTGCCCATTAGGTCGTGTTGAAATAATAGCTACTAGAATCATCAATAAAACACAGTTGAAGCTGTACCTACCACCAGATCATAGTATGCAGAGTAATACTGAGGGAAACTCCCAGAAGCTCCACCAAGAGATGTCTGTGTGGCATCTAGAAGAAGAAATATCTTCTCTCGTACAGGCAGGTCTGACTATGAAATGAGGAAAAAAAAATTAACCTCTAATCCAATGAAATCATCTGACAATAAGAATAACAGAGGAAGAAAAAAATATACCTTTTTCTTCACTATCTTGACAAGTATGGGGAGGAGCCCTACATCAATCACCTGCTTATGAATGGGTTCGCCAATATTATTCATCAACAACTCCAACAACTGCAAAATCATTCTTTAGAGATAACAGACCCGCAGAAGCAACACAAATATGTTGTAAGAATACTTCATAAGCCTAAATGGCTAGACGACCGACTATCCATTTCATATAATCATCAAGATCAGTATTTACAAAAAGACGAACTAACATTTCATAAAGCAATGATGAAATATAGTAGGATATGGTGTTCACTCACCATAACAGCAAATAGCTGAGTATTTACGCTTTTACTTCCCAGGCGTTTTTTTATAGCTTTAATGACATCTCTAGCTTGCCTGTGTAATGACAACCACCCAAAATTATGAAGAGCATGAAAAGGCCACTACGAAGTACAGTGGATCTATAATGATAAACAGCTCAAAATCATACCAATAATGGGTTTCTTTCGACCCAATATTCAGCCAAGAATTCAGCGTTACTCAAATTCTGGTGCAAAACTAGGTTTGCTTTGTAACTATTCAGAAATTCGCCCAAAGGAAACATCGTTAAACCTATGGAACTGCGAAGATGAACTGTGTCTATGTTCTACCCTCTTTAGCTACAAAGAACCACGGTTGGTTTTTTCAACAATTAGATGTGTAGAATGCTTTCCTCCATCGAGATTTAGAGAGAGAAGTGTTTATGGATGATCCACCAGGCACGAATGATTTCTCACTTAATGGCAAAGTGTGCAGGTTAAAGAAGGGACTGTATGNATTTAGAGAGAGAAGTGTTTATGGATGTTCCACCAGGTACGAATGATTTCTCACTTAATGGCAAAGTGTGCAGGTTAAAGAAGGGACTGTATGGGTTGAAACAATTGTCTAGAGTTAGGTTTAAGAGGTTTACTTGAGCTATGCTATGATATGTCTATAGATGAAATCAAAAGAACTATCCCTTGTTTATCCATCTTTTGCATGTAAGGCAAGATATAGCAGAAGATGACTTTGAAGGGATGTAAAAGTTGAATCTTGTCTTGCAAAAGAGTTCAAGATATAAGACTTGAGAAGCCTAAAGTACTTTCAAAGTATTAAAGTTGATAGATCCCAAATGGGTATTTTTGCTTCACATAAATTTGATGTGGATCTCTTTAGGGAAACAAGTATGCTCAAGTATAAACCCATTTATACTCCAGTGAAGCAGTATCACAAGTTAAATTAAGATATTGAAGGTGTCNTTAGGGAAACAAGTATGCTCAAGTATAAACCCATTTATACTCCAGTGAAGCAGTATCACAAGTTAAATTAAGATATTGAAGGTGTCTTTGGTTGACAGGGGGAGAAATTCGGGTTTGGTTGGACAGTCCATTTATTTATCTCGCACTTATCCAAGCATAGACTATGCAGTCAGTGTGACAAGTTAGCTTATGCATTCCCCTCCAGATNTCTTTGGTTGACAGGGGGAGAAATTCGGGTTTGGTTGGACAGTCCATTTATTTATCTTGCACTTATCCAAGCATAGACTATGCAGTCAGTGTGACAGGTTAGCTTATGCATTCCCCTCCAGATTTACATTTAGAGACAGATCATCGAATTATCAGTTATTTTAAGGAAATATTTTCAATTTGAGGACATGACCATTTGGGAGAGAAAGTATAAACATATACAGATTAGGCTGGTTCGGTTACACGTCTTGGATCTATGTCTGGTAATTGCACTTTTTTTTAACATAATCTAGTGACATGGCATATCAAGAAGCAAAAAATGGTGAGTAAATCTAGTGCAAAGACAAAGGTCAGAATTTATGTGCCAATAAGTTACTTTGGGTGAAAATACTGTGGAAACAATTTCATTTCAATTGTAAAGACCCAATGAGAGTATACTATGACAATAAAACAACAATCAATAATGCTCATAATCCAGTTTAACATCACCAAACTAAGCACTTCGAGATTGATAGCCATTTTATTGAAGATAAGTTGAAAGCTGACTTGATTTGCACTCCTTATGAAGGATGAAGACCAACTTGCCGACAACGAGACAAGCGAGTTCCAAAAACAAATTTCATGATAACTTAAGAAAGCTGAAAAACAAATTTCATGAAATATTAAGAAAGACGGGTATGTGCAACATCTTGAAGGGAGTGTTTAATATGTCTCTTATAATTCATATGCCTTCAAGGGTATTTATGTCCTTGCAGTTGAGTTAGTATAAATAGGAGAATGCATGGGAGGGAATTCAATTCTTGCTTTCTCTTTTCTAGCCATATTTTCTTTCTTCTTCTTCTGGCTGTCGGTTTGTAGTAGATTTCAAGAAATACAACACATCATCAATTGAAACTACTATACATCAATCATAATCACATCCAAATACACAAAAAAGCTATAACAAATCTGTACCTATGATCACGAGCAACGAATTCACAAATTTCAATGTTTTTCATCCAATCCATTTCAGCCAATTTGTCACTTGTTGCAGAACTGACAAGCTCAGCTGCCATTGTTCCTTATTACTGGATGTGAAAGATAGCACAAAGTAAGAACATTTGTAACAACATTGGGGAAGCAAATTTAGCATAACTGAAACCAGGTGGTTTGTATTTAAATCAACCAAGTAGACACACAGCTTAAAGATAATTTCCAAATATCAGACTAAAACCTACTTTGAAAATCGAACTTGATCAAGCAAGCATAACTTCAAGATAAGCCTCTCATGCATGCCATAGCAATTAATTTTTTATCACCATCCTAATAGTGCTGAGTGGAATCAAATAATGATTTATATGCCATATGCAACATGATATATTTAAGATACTAACAGCAAGAAGTCGGTAACATTTATGCATTGCTCATCAGAGATGCCCTTCACTTTAAACCACTACTAAAATTAACAGCCTAAAACACATCCAGAACTGGTCTGCCATCGCAGTAAAATAAGTCCAACACATATTATGAGATACTAATTATGCTGCATTGGCGATAACAAAAGNACTTTAAACCACTACTAAAATTAACAGCCTAAAACACATCCAGAACTGGTCTGCCATTGCAGTAAAATAAGTCCAACACATATTATGAGATACTAATTATGCTGCATTGGCGATAACAAAAAGTAAGTCTTGGGAGTAAATGTAAATGATAATAGAGTTTCTATGAACAGTATGCAGCAATATCTGCAATACAATTGTGTAATGTCATTGATACGCTTGAAAATATCATCCAGTTACCAGCTGCATACCACTTAAGCTGATGAGACCAACTACTTAATGCCCACCAATTGTTACCAAAATTATCAACATAAAAATGAACTTCCACCAATTGTTAACTAAAATCATATTCAGAATGAAACTTTATAGCTTCAACAAATAAAACTTAAAGAACAATAAAAGGACAACTGCAATGAAGATGACAAGTGCTGCAACAGGCGATATACACCTTGTTAAAGAGGAATTGTATTATAAAATAAACATCTTGCTATGAGGTGCATATATTTATTAGCAAAAGGGTTAGAATTCATATCATCACCAACCTAATTCAGCAAGGCCTAAAACAATGAATCCGAACTTCAATCCACACTGCCCACACCCCCGTATGGAACTAAACTAGATAAGAAATTTGAGTCTGCAAGCAGCGTAATCTCAAGTTTAAACACACGACAGATTAAATTAGGGAAAAAGGCTAGCCCAAGATTACCTCAACTTTAAATTCGATTTAACTAAGATCCACGGGCACTCAAAGAATGTGGCCGGTCTATGTCAGACATTGACGCTTCTCAAATATTCTAGGACACTGTCCAATACTCTTTCAGTGTCTATAATTAAAGATAAACTCTTAATTTTGAAAATGTGTCTAAAACTCAGTTGGGGACATCTCCAACATTTCTAAAGCCAGTCTCTGACTTAAACAAAATGTGGTCGATACTTCTTGAACACTTGCTTATATGTAACAAACAAAATTCAAAAATTTATCAGAAGATTATCTAATACAATACAAAATGCATAAAAGAAGATGCATGAACATCTTTACTAGAGAAGAGAAATTTAACTGACGAAAAAAATATTGCGATTATGTCAAAATATCACCCTTTATTTAATTAAATGGATGATACTTAAGTCCAATGACCCACTATTCTAAAAATTAATGTTACAGCACTAGATATGAGATTTGTTCACCATAAAGTAATGATTTTCCTATAAAAATTAATATATTTACACACATAATACATATAGCACCTAATTTGATGGACAACACATAAATAGGAGTATCGTGACCTAACCGCATTAGTGTCTTCATTTTTCAAAAAAAAATTGTCGCTGTGATGTGTCCTATCACGTCTGTGCACCGTATCTGGATTCAAGGTTGTGCTTCTGATAACAGGGCTGCTGAACATATGCCGTAAAACCCAACCTCACTATATAATGCATCAGTGATCTACTACTATGGGATTAGAATGTGTGCTTTAGGATGATGAATCTATAATAGAAGGGATGCATCACTCTTAACTAGGAGTGAGAATATTCAAGCTGATTCACCCATTATTGGACAAAGAAATTTATGGTCATGCCACTATGTCTCTTCGCATGCAAACCTGCGCACTTCTAATACTCCCAATCCCTGTGATTGGAGTAATCTTGTGCCCTGGGCTGCCCAATTTTTCAGTACATTGTTGATAAAAGAGTTTCATTTATGTTCCATCACTTAGATACGGATCATGGTAATACATTTAAGCTAAGGGTGACTACAATGACATTTTTCAAGCCTGAATTTTATGAATTATTGCATGATCAATGGCCTAATTACAAAGTTGAGCCACACAAAACAAGACCACAAAAAATTGCACATAGGTTGCAACTAGCAAGCAAAATTTGAAAATCTCAACACTGTTAAAGTGATTCTGAGCAGCAGAAAAGGACTAAAATGTCTGTTTGAGATGAAATCCTAGAGAGTTCTCCTCATAGTAGGCGAAGGTAGCAATGAAATACTAAAAACTCTATCTTTATTTGAAAACATATGTAAATGCAACGCATACCCTGAAGAGAAATAAAATAAAATTGTAACANATGAAATCCTAGAGAGTTCTCCTCATAGTAGGCGAAGGTAGCAATGAAATACTAAAACCTCTATCTTTATTTGAAAACATATGTAAATGCAACGCATACCCTGAAGAGAAATAAAATAAAATTGTAACATTAATCCTCCCAGAGAAAAAGAAAACAAGAAAGAAAAACCAAAGAAAGAAGCTTTAAAAACTCAAACATTGCCTCCTTGTCTTATCAGACAGTTTACCGGAATTGATCTATTATATGATTAAGATTCCACTGTTGGCTCTGGCTTTCGAGTCTTTCCCTCAGAATCACTATAAGTTTCAATAAGAAAACAAGAAAGGCAAACCAAGGAAAAAAAGCTTTAAAAACTCGAACCTCTTAACTAGATGAATTACTAACTACACACTGTCTAGTACAAGAGTCAGCAGGGCCTAAGATGTGCTCTAAACAATATAAGGTGATACGCCATGTAGAAGTTTAATCCGATCTTTAACAAACATTCAAATGGGAAGTGTAGGAACATCAATAGCATCACTTCTTNACACACTGTCTAGTACAAGAGTCAGCAGGGCCTAAGATGTGCTCTAAACAATATAAGCTGATACGCCATGTAGAAGTTTAATCCGATCTTTAACAAACATTCAAATGGGAAGTGTAGGAACATCAATAGCATCACTTCTCTCCAGTAACAATGTAACTTTTGTTTGGTTTCCGAGAAAAATGGAGAAGTAATTAAACAAAACTTTGGCATCTTTGCTGCTCTTTC